TTAAGGAATGTATCTCTCTCATGTATAAGCCTAAACCATTTTCTGGCTTTGACTATACATTTTGTTCCCTTCGGTAATATCAGCTGGTTAATGATTGTATAAGGAAGTGGATTTTCATTTATTTTGGCTCGAGCATCACGGAAAAGACCAGACCCGTTTTTATGGTGTTGTAGATGCGCAGTCTTTAGTTTTCTATGTTATATTCTGCAGATTTGTTTGTCTTTTCCTCGTCTTTCGTATTTTGCCTTTGCGTTGTCAACAATGAAATTACAAAAATACCGAACTCCAAGGAAAATTCAAAGTCCCTTATAAAATGGCCAAATCAAACGCTCAAACGCATCAAACGAATTGAAAACCACTGTCATATTCCTGACTTGGTACAGGCATTTCCTTATGTAGAAAATGGTGGATTAACCCTGGTTTTATAGCTAGCTACACCCCTCACTTGTATGACAGTCGAATAGAATTCCATTATATTGACAACAAAGTGTGAGCAAAACAAACAGACATTATAGGTGAATATGTCAAAATTGGGGTACAGCGGTCAACACTGTTTTTCTCATTTTCAGTTGTCAGTTTATCTTCGTCTTATGAGTTTTGAATGTTCCTTTGGTATCTTCCGCCTCCCTTTTTTTTTTTTTTTTTTTTTTAAGTTTTCCCATAGTACCTGAGCTCTGTCCGCTTCTTTTTTGGGTTCATGCTCATGTTGGTCAATTTTCTGTGTGATGAATTTTCTGTCCAATAGTAACATTCGACACTTGAGATTCTTTACTTTGATAATGGCAGTGTAATTCAAATATTAATGTTTGTGGCATCAGTTTTAATAACACCTACCATGTTACCTGTGTATATGTCATGAACAGATCAGGTGTGTTATTCTGTTATGCTTTATAAACATATCGCTTTTAAAACAACATAATGAATGATATTCAATTTGAAAATGTTTTATGATTTAATTAATTAGGAACTTTGAACGTAGAAACACTCGTGTTATCTGTTTGTCCGACATTTTAAGTTTTTGTTCTATGAAAACCTTTTTAAAGCTTTATTGTTTAGTCTATTCACTGGAGTTTTTAAATTATACAGTGATGTTCTATTAACATTGTAACCGCTTCTTAAGTTTATATCTTTGATAGTACGAGAAAATGATTAACAAGAGTATGCACACTGAAATTTCTCGCCTGGTTGTTACATAGCGTAAGATATTGTTTCCTTTTAAGTTGATTTTGTTTCCAGTTATTAGTTCTTGGTAACACTGGTGGCAGGAATATTGGATGGTTATTGAACATCACCCACGGCTTTTGTGGGATTCGTGTTGCTCAGTCTTTAGTTATTTATGTTTTCGTAGACTGTTTTTTGTCTTTTCGGTGTTTTTGTCTTTTGCTCTGATTTTGTCAGTCTCTCTCCGGGCACTCCGGCTTTCTTCACCAATAAAAACTGACAGCCACGAAATAGACAATAGTGTTAGAAGTGGCGTTAAACACCAATCAATCAACCAATCTATAATGATCAAAATTTGCGTGATAATTGTCATGATATTCTACATGTATTACAAATCTTGCTTGACATAGACCCTTATTAGTCTCTTTCAACTTACTTGATGTTTTCTTTAATGCAATCATAAGGTGAACCAACAAGCTATTGTGTACAAGCAATCAATCAATGGACTTGATTCCTTAGGAAAGGATTTTGTTTTTTTTTTATAAAAAGTCAAATTAAAGGTGATGTTTTTTTTATTTTTTTATTTATTTTTTTGTGCATGAATAATATCTTTTATTTCAAATCACCTGGAATTCATAGACCCTTAGCAGTCTCTGCATTTATTTTAAATGTCCCATTTGCCAGGGAAAATACAAATGGGCGACAAAATATACTCTCTCCATAGTATATTCTATTTAAAAACTAGCATCTCTTTTCAATTAGTATTCTACACACATTAAAATCAAATAAATTTATACTTCGTAAATACAATTAAAAAAATATAGTTAACTGTTTATTTGTTTATCTAATTTTAGTTCTTTCTAAGCATTAGTACTGTTTAAAATTCAAATCCTATCTCGCATACACAAAAGAAAACCAATTATGACATATTTTGTTATTTTGATTGTCTTCCCGTTGTAGTTATGTTTTATCAACTAAATAGATACCAAGAGGTTCTCTCCCGCTTTATTATTAGAATAAATATTCAATATATACATTTCATAAAAATACAAATATGAGTAAAACATAAAATAATACAAATTAGAATACAAATAAATAATTGTATGAAAGACCATTCCCATAATTCCTAACGGTTTTCACTCCTTATGGAAGATATTCATAATATATTACTTCGCACTATTCGGGATGTCTAATTGACTTATTTACATTATACATGCATCTATTTTTTTATTCGTATCATGTAAAGAAAATTATGTTATGTATATTGATCAGATTGGGAAAAATCTTTAAAAAAAATCATTTTCAAAAACAGTGGTTTGAACCATTGGTAGAATAGCTTTTTGACCTGCAGTCATAACAGACAAAGAATGGAGAAGTCAAAAGTAAAATCACAAAAATACTGAACTCCGAGGAAAATTCAATCGGAAAGTCCATAATCACATGGCAAAATCAAATGACAAAACACATCAAACGAATGGACAACAACTGTCATATTCCTGACTTGGTACAGGCATTTTCAAATGTAGAAAATGGTGGATTGAACCTGGTTTTATAGCGCTAAACCTCTCACTTGTACGACAATCTTATCAAATTCCGTTATATTTACAACGATGCGTGAACAAAACAGATATTATAAATAAAATAGTCACAATATGGGTACAGCAGTCATCACTGTGTTACAATATCAAAACAAACAATTATTTACAAAAAAGCACAAAAGCATCTATCGCAAATGTCGCCAACATGTTTTTTTTTTAAAAAGAGGCGAAGGATACCGAAGGGAAATTCAAACTCATAAGTTGAAAACAAAACTGACAACCCATGGCTAAAACAAAGAAAAAGACAAACAAACAAACAAACAACAGTACACAAAACACAACATAGAAAACTAAAAACTGAGCAACACGAACCCCACTAAATACTGGGGATGATCTCATGTGCTCCGGAAGGGTAAGCACATCCTGCTCCACATGTGGCACCTGTTGTATTGCTGATGTTAGTACAAACCAGATAATAAGTCTAATTTGGTGGGTCATATTCGGGGAAAAGGGGACGGGATTGTAGTTACGACAATTGGAACTCATCCGTTGTCATCATTGAAACGGAAACTCCATAACAACCAACTCGTGATGGCGTCAGTAAAAGTTACGAAAGAATGATATCAACTTGGAAATCTTGGTTTTATAGCTTCCTTGTGAGCAACAACCCTCTATCAAGGAAATCATGATAAGAAATACAAGCTCTGTAATATCGTATCATGTAAATGAATTAAACATCAATTAATTAAATTAATAATTTATGCTGTTTCTACTCTGTATTTCCCTACCACCTGTACTAAGACCTAACGGTCATCACAATGTCTATAACATAAATTTCCAGACAAATTGTTACTATTAACACACTGAAAAGGGAAGTATATTACCTTAACAATACACATTGTTCTTAAAGAGGTAATGGTAGACTTAAATAAAAGTTATTATAATTATATAAAATTCAATCACTTAAAAATACATTGTATACACTATATTGATACTGACTTGACTCCTGTCCAAACTAATGAATGAATCTAATGTATGAATGTAACACATTCAAAATGAGTATTTAAATCTGTTCCTAATTTATTACTGATTAATACCACTCGATCATTCGAGAAAATATTGAATACACTCAACCAAAATATAATCATGTATCGAAACTCCTTTTGCACCATAAAATATATACGTAAATTAAAATACTGTGGATTCGTGGATATATATTTTCGTGGTTTTGCCAAAGTTCATATGGACATTTGAATTCTTGGTTTACGTTTATTCATGAAATCCGCCAAAATTGGTATCACATGAGTTATGATGAAAAGTAAAGGCAACAGTAGTATACCACTGTTCAATAGTCATAATTCGATTAAGCAAAAAAAAAACCGGGTAACAAACTAAAACCGAAGGAAACACATCAACTATAAGAGGAAAATAACGGAACAACAGAAACACTGAACAACAACAAAAGCAAACGCCAACATACATATAAACGGGCTGTCTGATAACAACTGCCATATTCCTGACTTGGTACAGGATATTCTAAGAAAAAAGATTGGGTTGAACCTGGTTTTATGGCTAGTAAAACCTCCCGCTAATATGACAATGTCAAAAATTCCGCTAAATGACAACACTTCGTGACAGGAATACAATACAAACAAACGTAAGAAACATAAATAAATAATATAATAGTACATTACAACATGTAAACCACAGAATAACAACGGACACCTCCCATGAATTTACGACAGCACACCAGGAGCGTCACATGCATGGATCAACGTCGCAAAAAGTGATGTATTTTTATGACGTTTATATTACCACAGGTAAATTTCTAAAAATAAGATAGATTTCTTTTATTTATAGACACGTACACGAGTATTAAATTGGGATTGAGTTTGTAATGGTGTTATGTATTTTCTAACCAAGACAAGAATATTAAAACGGAATTGTGTTTGTAATGGTGTCATTATTTGTATTTTCAAACTATGTCGATTTTTCTTCTAAATCAAAACTGTGTATAAACAAAAAAATCCCGTGCATATAGTTGCTTTAAACTTAAAATAATATAAATTAAGTAGCTGATTTTTTATCTTAACTTTTATATACATATAGAAAATAAAAATATAATAACTGTAATATAAGGTAAGATCATGTAAGACCAAACAGTAAACACACATGAAAACAAAAAACATAAAACATAAAACAATATCCCTGTAGACGAACTCACTGTTAAACCCACAGTATAGCTATTTACACCAAAATAAATAAAACAATATTTGCATGTTGACAAATTATTATCCGTTTAAAATCTGTCTGAAGCTAAAATAAGTCTATTACAAGCATTCATTTAGTCATGATAAAAATAAAGCCATGTAATTGTTAACAAAATATTACGACATTCCTGAATTATTTGTTATTTTTAATCAACAGGCCATGATTTATCTCCTTTGTTAAAAAAAAATGTCTCCCTTTACTACACATAAATTTCACATTTCGTCGCCTGGTCTCGCTTTATTATCAGATATCGATCCTCTCCTTAACAGTGGAAACAGGGACACGTGTATTCGAATCCTCAGTAACTGTGTCATCATTTCTTTGACTGTATGTGGAAGTATTAATATATTGTTGAGGTTGTTGAGGTTTATTTGTTTGACGTGATATGACATTATCACAATCTTCTTTTACTCTCAATGGTTGAAGTTCGATATGACAAGATTTCTCCTTACACCACTGTTCTTTGTTGTTGTAGCGGCTTTTGTTACCGTCGATATCTTCATTGAACTTATTCTGATCAGTCGGATGAGGTGAAGCTTGCTCCATTTTTGTATAGTGTGACGGTTCACCATTCATTTTTAGATAGCCATTATATCCACACGCCCCTTTGCTCGATTCATCTTCTGTCTTGTTTGAATCCACCATTTTTAAGTAATTGGATGTATATAAATTCAAGTAATACTGAAAATATAGTTAATACTTCAAGGTATGCAAAGTCTATATATACATATCATATTATGTTTGTAGATTTATAATTGAAATCTGAAACATGAGAAAAGATAAATTAAATCAACTAAATACCTTATAAATGTCCCGGTTAATTTAATGACAGTTTTGTGATATCATAATTTAAAAAAAGATAGGATGTGGGATAAATTCTCATCAGAAGAGTCAAGAAATTAAAAACTATATTCATTAAGCAAAATTAAAATTATCAATATAAAGAGATATTATAGACAAATAAAATTCTTTTCCGCACTTTTTCAATCTGGAAACACAGAGATTTGTAGTTGTTTCAAACTTAAAGAAGCATTCAGAATATTGTTTTCCAAAGACATATGTGAATAAACTCAGTATATAATGTACTTGTGTGGAATATCTGCTGATGGCATTTTCACCAAACAGTGCTATGAAAATCAAACCGACTTTAATAAATGTAGAACCCATACTCTGTTATCCCCTTAACAATCTGGTATGGGACAATGTGGAATAAGAGTCTTATTTGGCCTAATTTTTCAATGAGATTTGAACTTCTAATTTACAGTAGTTAAAGCCCCAAAAGACACTCTACATTTTAGGTTGAAAAAAACATAGATCAACTTCTAAGTATTTATAATAAAAAGAGCATTTGAGTATTAACTAAATAATAAACAACATATTCAATTTGTCTCTATAAAAAACATATTCCTTGTAAATCTTTTATTTATTACTTACACGAGTTCAATATTTCTCATCCAAGTCATTGATTAAAATTATGCATTTGTTATTTTTGTCAAGTAAATTTTTGTTATTATCGACTCTTATCTTTCTAATTGATCTAAATCCTTTCAGTATAAATTTCTTAAATACGTGTTAGAATATTCACGCAAAAGTCCCAACTCTTCGTTAATCTTCAATTATAATGCCAAATTGAACCCTTTCTTCCTTTTTACATAAAACATTTTATATTCTTTCTTTCATAATCCTACTTACTCATTATTGCAATATGCAAAAAATAGTCAGAAAGGATTATTTCCTTAAGGTATCAAATAAATATAACTGGATTTTCGGTGACAATAATAATGTAGTAAATCTCGTTTAAAGTTAATTAAATATTGACGAGTATATTTGATAAACCACTGACATAGCAGGACATGTTAATATTGGATTTGGTCTCAAGTATAAATCAAAATTATCATTCTGCTTTTAGGAGTTTATTAAACACTATACTGGAAAAGAAAAGAAAACATGCTATATGTTATTGTTTTCTATTTAGATTCAAACTACACTGAGACAGAATTGTAATGTTTTGAATAAACGAAATATGATTTCACTAATTTTCATCATTGTACTGTTGTTCGCTCCATTTTGTTACAATTTGCGTATAACTTGATGTCAAAGAGTGTCAATATTGGACCTGTCAAATAAATTCTTGTCCTATAAGATGCAAAAGATTTTAATCACATGTCAAATCATCATTGAATTTTACATCTGTGCGAGTAAGATAATAAGAGATAAGTGAAGTAGTACTTAGCGTTTTTTTGATGTGGGGATGTATAAGTACCCTGCCACGTCCGGTCTGTGTTTTTGTGCATTTCTGTTTCGAATGGATCTGATGAGTTAAGCCCTTTTCAACTGATTTTTATAGTTTGCTCTTATGTTGTACTGTTACACCACTGTACAAGGAATAAAGTATACCTGTTTAACATCAGCTTCTAATAAATCTCCCATTTGACAGGCCAATTGTGTAAAAGTTGGTCTTTTATCTGGTTCGGTCCTCCATGTTGCTTTCATGACTTTGTACCTAGATAACAAGATAGATTTTTTGGGTTTAACCTGAGACAAATTCAAGATATCATAGACTAATCAGAAACGTACAAAATTGAAGTGATAATTGTTTTTTTTTTATAGATTTTACGTGAGAATTTGACTCCTTAGAATGGTATTTTATGCTTGGAAATTTGAAACATGTTGATTCTAATGAATCATTCGTTAGTTGGGTTAAAATTTTGTATAACAGACGTTCAAATATGTTTCATAAATAATGGGTGGGTATCAGAAAATTTCAAAAACTAACGTGGAATACGACAAAAATGCCCTATATCAGCATTACTGTTTGTTTTGGCTGTTGGAAGTTTGGTTCTAAGAAGTAACAAAGACTTAAAAGGAATCAGTGTTAAACTAGATTGAAGAAGTCATAGCATTACGATTCGCAATTAGCTGATGACCCAGCATTATATTGAAATGAATGAAATAGAAATTGTTGGTTTGTTTTCAGGTTTAATGTTAGATAAAAATAAAACAGAATGATTATGGATGTGTAAATTGAAATCAAATAAAGATAAAATGGCCGAGATTGATTGGGGGATATAGACCTTTTAAGGATTTAGGGGTGTTTTTCGGACATGGTAAAGAGGAATGCCAAAACTTTAAATAACGGTAGTAAAGTAAAAAAAAAACAATGATAAAAATCTTCAAGACATTGGAAAAAAGAACTCTTTCCAATATAAGAAAATTACTTTTAATAAAAGCATTAATCTTGCCTTCATTAACATTCCTTGGAAGGGTTTGTTTAACTCTAGAAAGTTATCTTAAAGAATTAGACAAAAAAGAAGCTTTAACTAATCTTCGTTGGGAAACCAGACAAAATAAAACGAAATCTGATAATCAGTCTATATATACTAGAGGCTCTAAAGAGCCTGTGTCGCTCACCTTGGTCTATGTGCATATCAAACAAAGGACACTCTCCAACATTGTAGACGACAATAGACTTCCTGACAAAAATCTTTATTTTATTGATCTTGTATTACTGACCTTTAAGTCTGTTTAGTTTAAAAAAAAATCCTCATTTAAGGACAATCACTCCTATGAAGAGTGACAGTCTACTAACTATATTGGCAAAATTTGACTTTTTAATAGATCTTGCCTTGCTGATCATTGTTGTGATTTAAAGTGTTTATTTATCTATTATAATTTAAATCATATAAAGCATAACGGAAAAAAAATGTTTCTCTCTAAATATAATAGTTTTCATGATAAAAGGCAAAAATGAAAAAAAAGGTAAAATTTGTCATTTATGGGCAATAACTTCTATAAGAATTTGTCTAACAGTGTTGACTAAATGGACAATTGATAAAGTTCATTATTCTGAACATTTTTGCTTCTTTCAGATTTTCTCTATTTATAACGGTTCAAAAAATAACAGACAAAATTTGCATTTTACTCCTAAGTTCTATTTTTAGCCAAGTCGTTGATTGGTAGGCAGGGTATCGGACAAATTTTTTAAAGTAGATACCCTAATAATGATTGTGGCTAAGTTTGGTTAAATTTGTCTCAGTAGTTTCAGAGGAGAAGATTTTTGTAAAAGATTACAAAAATTTACAAAAAATGGTTAAACATTAACTATAAAGGGCAACAACTCCTTAAGGGGTCAATTGATCATTTAAGTCATGTTGACTTATTTGTAGATCTTACTTTGCTAATCATTATTGCTGTTAACGTTTATCTCTATCCATAATAATATTGAAGATAATAACCAAAAACTGCAAAATTCCTTAAAATTACCAATTCAGGAGCAGCAACCCAACTACAGATTGTCTTTTAGGGAAGATAGATCTTAACCTGATAAACATTTTTACCCCGTCAGATTTGCTCTAAATGCTTTAGTTTCAGAGATATAAGCCAAAATCTGCATTTTACCCTTATGTTCTATTTTAAGCCATGTCGGCCATGTTGGTTGGTAAGCGGGGTCATTGGACACATTTTTTAAACTAAATACCCCAATGATGATTGTGGCTAAGTTTGGTTAAATTTGGCCCAGTAGTTTCAGAGGAGAAGATTTTTGAAAAAGTTCAGTATGAAGCAAATGTGTTCACAAAGTACAATTGAAAATATCAAATAAAAGCAAACAGAAAGGCCATTGAATTAAATCGTTTACAGTGTACAACTCCGCATTCAAACCTTCAAACAAAATGCACAATGTATCAAATTGTTCATATAAGCAAAATCCAACAAACTTTGCAATAACATTTCAATGTTCACTAAGTATAGTACATTTAAAACGAATCAACTAACAGGAAGTGTCTGCACAACTTGCCATCAAACAGCTTCTGACAAAATATAAATCTTTGGTTTGTACAAGCTAAGAGACTAGTGACAAAAAAATCATAGCTATTTGGTCACGTTGTAATTTTTAAGAGTCACTTACATTTCGAGGCAATAACTCCTAACTCTGATAATTTTGTTAAAAATTGCAATTTCAAAATATTACAATAACTTGCATTTCTCTATCCCTGATTTATGTCCAATCATTACCCATGGCTACTACCCTATAATACATACGTGTACCGTAATTTAGTTTAAACATACTAGTACTTTATTTGTTCAAAGTAAGACATAATTTACAAAGTATTAACAAAACTACTGAACTCCAAGGTAATTTCAAAAAAGGGGAAGTCCATTAAACCTGACAAAATTAAAGGTTAGACTTAATCAACCAACGGAACAAATGGAAAACAACTATCATATTCCTGACATGGTAAAAGCATTTTCCGATGAACACGGCGGTTTAAACCTTGTTTTTAAAGCTAGCTAGACCTCCCACTTGCATGAAAGTTTTTTTTATAGTTCCGTTGTATTGACAAAATTGGGTGAGCAACCCTAACAGACATAATTCGTTAATATGACATAAATTGGATTCCAGCAGCCAAAATTGTATCAGCATACATCAAAGACATACAGCACAACTGATTAAAAAAATCAAACAAACATACAAATAAATCTGACAAAGACGACAACAAAAAAAGTAATTGATTAGATTGATTTCCAAGTACTCCAATATTGGATTGAACTACAAAAGAAGAAGAAGAAGAATGCTATACTAGTATACTACAGTACGACCTGGGACATACTCTGATAAATGATGACCATAAAAACTATGTCCGTCATGATTGCCTCATATGTCCATCATTATACCACCAGCAGCTTAGTTAATACACAATGTTTTAATTAAATCACCAGTCAAGGGTAAAGGGAAATCATGTTTGCATTTTAGTGATCAAATTAAATAGGTAACAGATAATGTGTCTCAGATACATTGTAAATGTACATGTATCTAATGTGTCTCATTTACATTTCATACGTTTGACAATTTTTGCACTAAACTTCTGTGATAATAATAAGAAAATTTCACAAAACATAAAATAATACCACTAGTTGAACATATAGCTTAATAATAACAAGTCAATTTTAGAAAAATTAGTCTCATGACCTCAGTTTTGTATGTCTTATACTGTCATGACGGCTTGTTCTGTTTTTATGTCCTTTAAATGATTCACTCGATTTAAAATATTTACGTTTATTTTTTGGCAATTTGAAAATAAATGATTTTCATATTCATATATATTGTAAAACTTGCAGAGTCTCTACTTTTTATGGATCTCATATTCTCTGCCTTTTCCTAATAAAAAGATGTGTTTTCTCTTTCTCTAATTATTTTTCTTCAATAAAATTGTTGTGATTAATAGATGTTGATCTCCATTTAACATTGTTTAACAAATGTTTCAAGATTATCAGTATCTGCAGGACTTTTTTTAATACAATTCTCGCAATCTATTCTTTTCAAAATTGACATTTCAAAATATTCATAACAGCACAATTTGATAAAAGTTTTGTATTTTATAACTTGCATATGCATGTATCATCAGAAAAGCATGTATACAAGATGTATAATCCTGAAGTATATAGGTATTTATATATAGTTACGTCTAAACAACTAAAAACTCAGCTTTCGGTGGCCTAGTGTTACCTTTCCTCGTATCAAATAATTATTTCTGTTACTGCATCTTACGATCCTTACGAGCGCTGGACACAGTGCAAACGGTGTTGTCTCGATATCCCAATAGCATGAGTTTGAATCCCGGCGAGGGAAGAACAAAAATTTGCTTCCGCAAATTTGCAGATTTAACATTGTTGTGCTGATATTTAGAGTAATTATGCGTATTTATATATATATATAACATTAGATTCTACAATACAAATTGGTTTGTTTACAGTTAAGGATTATTGTAATTCATATTATAAATTGGACAAGACATGAAATTATTGATCAAGGGGGTAGAAAAGATATACTTAATTTATAATAAGAACAATGTTGAATAACAAATGAGGAGATTAATACGCAAGCACTGTCACTTCATCTTCGACTTAAGAGTTTTGATTGTCCCTTTTGTATCATTTGTTTATGTATATAGGAAAAATAACCTTTCCCAAATTTAAGAGTTGATAATTGCAACCTTTCCCTATAATAGGCCAGATGTTAAAAGAGGGAATACTTCAAAAGTATTCATACGAAGATACTATAACAATAATGGACTTACAATTCATCTGACGAATATTCTGGGTTCTCCATCACATAACCATCCTTTAGTAAGTTGATAAATTTTTCATTGATTTCAATGCCAGGGTAGGGTGTACCGCCTATCAAATAATTATCTTGAATAGTTATGTGCTACAAATGGTGCAGTTATCTCGTTTAAAAACTTCAACATGTTGCATAAAGTTGACTCATGACTGTGCTTATTTGTATTATTAAGATATTTGTATAACAAACCCATATATACATTTGTATTGTTGTAGGGTGATTGATAATCGTGCAAGTATTCAGCCTTTAATTGAATTGATTAAGTGTTATATTCATTAACTAGCACTGGGTCGAAACAGTAAGTCCCGAGGGTATCATCAACTCAGTAACTTTTCTTAAATTCTCCGTTGATAAATTAATAAATTATTAAGAAACAAAGGCAAAAGTTGACCTTAAATGAATTTGGCTATTTTTTAGGTCCCTTTTGGTCATGTAGCTCTTCATGTATTCTAGTCTCCATGTTGTTGGGAGGGTTTGGCGCCCGCAAACATGTTAACCCAACCACATTCTGTAAGTGCATGTCCCAGGCCAGGATCCTGTAATTCAGTGGTTGTCATCTGTTGCTGTATATTATATAAGTTTTTTCGTTTTTTGTTTTATATATAATTGAGGCGGTAAATTTTCTCGTTTGAATTGTTTTACATTTGACATTTCGAGGCCTTTTATAGCTTGTTATGCGGTATGAATGTTGATCGTTGTTGAAGGCCAGACGATGACCTCTAGTTGCTAACTTCTACGTCATTTGGTCTCTGGTGGAGATTTATATGAATGGCAATCATGCCTCATCTTCCTAATTTTTTTTTACATCTGGGGCTTTCAAATGTTTGGGTTTGAGTGTTCCTGGTGAAGGTAAATCAAGAAAAACATTTTAGACGTACAAATTATTACGTGTTATCTACATTTACATATTGGGAAGAATTTAAAAACAGGTGTAGTTCAGCACGGTTGCAAAGGCTTTATCACACCTTTAATCTGTAAGACGTCACGTCATCGATTGCAATCACTGTTGCAAAGGCTTTATCAAACCCCTAATCTGTATGACGTCATGTCAAACCTATTATCTGTATGACGTCATTTCAAACCTCCTTATCTGTATGACGTCATGTCACATAAAAAACCATCTACTTGAGATATATAATAAAGTGTATATGATATGACTTTTTCAATATCACACACCGTATCAACCCTCAACCAATATAATCCCACGAGCAGAGCTCTTGTGATTATATTTGTGTCTCGGGTTGATACGGATGTGATATTGAAAAAGCCATATGATACTCTCTATTTATCAGCAACGTAAGCTATTAAATCAATATCAGGATGATAAGCAGCAATAAAAGTGATGAATAATGCATTTCATATTTTTTTTGTAATAAGCTGAATTGGTTCTTAAAGTGTATATTTCGTTTCTTTACTTTACTGTTGAAATATGAATGTGATTAAAGATGCTGTGATACAAAACATATGGTGGTGTTGCCTATATGTCAATTTTATGAAAATGCAGTATCAAACATGAATATTAACAAAATGATAATATAATTTTAAGTTATCCTTATGTGATAAAAGTTTGATCAAGACTTACCTAAAGAAAATATTTCCCATAAGAACACACCATAGGACCATCTAAGATATAAATTCAAAGTAAGTTATATTTTAAATTAATCATGTGTGAAAATGTTCAATGCAAAAATCTAAGAAAAATTCCCCTACCCAAGAAATGCCTACCAATTTACTTTTTCGTCGTTGTACCCAGCGCTGTTAAAAATTACTTTGAGTTATGTATCTATTCACTCGAGATTTTTAAACAATCCGGCGGGTCATTAGAAAAACCATGGATTCAGCAAATGATCAGTTTTCATCTGACTTCTCGTCACTTGCTCTGAATTATCTTCATGTTCATGTATTTCGATAAAAGGACTCTATAACATAATGAAGAATAATTGTTCGACACCCCATTGTAAAATGTAACGATTTACAAATCGTATGACGAAAAACTTCAAAGGGAACTAGCCAAGATAATTCTAAATGACGGCGGTAAAATCAATTATACCATGATTGATTGATTGATTGATTGTTAATTAGATAAGAAAAGAGGAACGGAAGATACCAGAGGGACAGTCAAACACATAGATCGAAAACAAACTGACAACGCCATGGCCAAAAATAAAAAGACAAACAGACAAATAATAGTACAGATGACACAACATAGAAAACCAAAGACTAAGCAACACGAACCCCTACAAAAACTGGGGGTGATCTCAGGTGCTCCGGAAGGGTAAGCAGATCCTGCTCCACATGTGGCACCCGTCGTGTTGCTTATGTTATTACAAATCCGGTAAATAGTCTAATTCGGTAAGTCACATTCGTGAAAAGGGAGGGTATTGTAGTTACGACATAAGGAACATATCCGATATCATCTGTGAAACGGTTATTCCATATATTCCATAACGGTCAACCAACTCGTGATGGCGTCCGTAAAATTTACGAAGGGATGACTTCAACTTCACCATTAGGAACTCTTGGTTTAATAGCTTCCTTGTGAGCAGCAATCCTCTATCAAGGAAATCATGATAGGAAACACAAGCCCGAGAATATCGTATCAACTGGGAGATATATACTCCGTATTCAGGCGCTGCTGGAATGTTGCTACATAGAAATGGAATGTTCACAATTGGGAAGCTGAAATCATCTCTTTTAATATACCTATTAACAAGTACGAAATGCAAAAAATCATAATTTTGGACTTGAAGTGCATTACTTTAAATTATTGTCAGAAATGAATAAATAAAAGAGTTGATCATGTTAATAGCAAGCATTCTGTAGTTTACGCTTTAAATTTTAGTGCCCGTTAAATATTACTTTGAGTTATGTATTTGTTATTGTGAATTTGTAAAATCAAAGAAAGTGTATATCCCCTAAACATTTGACAAAATTCCTTTATTATTGCATGTTTGGAAAATTACCTATTGAATGTTTAAACAATATACATGTATCAAAATTGATTTCTTTTTCTATCGAGAAACATGGTTGAACAGGTATTATCGGTTTAAAATATTCTAAATCTATTTTGAATAGAGGATTATCTTTAGAACTTTTTTAAATACAATTCAGGCAATCTGTTCTTTTCACAATTGACATTTCAAAATATTTATAACAGCACAATTTCATACTTTTTTTGTATTTTATAACTTGCACATGTATGTATCATCAGAAAGGCATGTATACAAGATGTATAATCCTGAAGTATATAGGTATTTATATATAATATATAACCTTAGAATTTTTACAATGAAAATTGGTTCGTTTACAGTTAAGGATTATTCTAATTTACCTAAACCAGTTTCACATATGAAAATATATTCACAAATTTACAACAAAGAGACGTACGTTGTGTATATTTCCCAACGTCTTTGCTATGCCCCTGTAATATAAAAGTTAAACTCATCCCGTTTCTAATAAATTTCTGTTTCAAGTAGTCCATGTGTCAAATCGATGAAAGATATGAATTAGACCTTCTTATTTCGGTAGTATTCCTCATCACAGATTCACTGGGATATATGAGATGCTAGCACTCATTGAAACGTGGGTAATTGAGTAACAGGACATCATCAATATATCTGACAGTGATAGAACTTTAAGAAAGCTCTGTATGATCTTTTCTTCATATGAGTATAAAAACAGGTCGGTCTGTATACAATATAGTACCCTTTAGAATACAGACTATCCTTGGAAATATTAATCAACCAAACTCAACAAATATGTTGTCGAGCTAAAAAGTCTTCCATTTATATAATATCATCTTGAGTTATTTGTTTTATGAGTCGCCGTAGTCGATCTTTCAATTCATCATGGGAAATAGTAGTGTAGAACGTAGAAAAATCATGAGTTTTGATATAACAGAAAAATTGTAAGGATTGTTATTGAAGATTTTGAAGTAGATCTTAAGAAATTTTAAGAATCTTATTGACACTACTAGTAAAATATACCTCATCACAATATTTCCGACGGCCATCTTTTACTTTAGAAAGAATGGAAGTAGGAACTTTTGAAAGGTATTTTAATAAGTAGTAAAATAACAAAAATATCGAACTCCAAGGAAAATTCAAAACGGAAAGTCTCTTATCAAATGGCAAAATCAAAAGCTCAAACACATCAAACGAAAGGAAAACAACTGTCATATTACTAGGGTAACAGAAATTTATTCATTAATTCAGTGATACTAAAAATTTTAGGGATTAAGCAAAATTAGCCTTTAAATAACTAAGACATCACTTTAAGTGATGTGGTTTTGATTTGTTAAAGACAACCAATCCGTCACTTTAGTAGTAGATTTGATTAGTTTAAGATAACTTACACGTTACTTTTAGTGGTGTAGATTTTATGTGTTAAAGGTAAATAACACGTCACTTTTAGTGTTGTAGTTTTGATGTGTTAAAGATGACTTACACGTCACTTTTAGGGGTGTAGATTTGAAGTGTTAATGACAACTCACACGTCACTTTTAGTGGTGTAGATTTTATGTGTTAAATATAAATAACGCGTTACTTTTAGTGGTGTAGATTTGTTGTGTTAAAGGTAACTTACACGTCACTTTTAGTGTTGCAGATTTGATGTGTTACAGGTAACTTACAAGTCACTTTTAGTCGTGTGGATTTGATGTGTTAAGATAACTTACACGTCACTTTTAGTGGTGTAGATTTGATGTGTTAGAGATAACTTACACGTCACTTTTAGTGGTGTAGATTTGATGTGTTAAAGACTCAATTGCCATCCATTTCACTGGAACTGGTCCCTAAAATAGAATATACAATCAAAGTTTTCTCATACCATTAGCAATTATGTGCAACATAATTCTAAAAAAAATATTTCTAAATGAGCTATATAATAGCATTTATGATATTTAATACAAACTGATGATTAGCTCATTCCACGTAAAACGGTACCAATCATAATGCACAATATAGGTATTTCGACTAATGATATCTTAAACTGTACCATAAAACAAATTTTGCTTGATTTTTTTCATAATGATAAGATCTTACAGTAACATTTAAATGTAACAGCAGAAGCTCATCAAAGCTCTAATTCTTAAGAAGCGGGTCTTCTAAAGTTACTGCTGACAGTAATCTAACAGCAATAAATAAACAAAACATATTTTCAGTTTTCAAGAAACAATCAAAAAAATATCAAACATGAATGACTCTTAACAAACCTTGAAGTCTATTTCAATCACAAATTAGACTCTAAAAGGGTAAACAGCATTTGATTCTTCTAAATAAGTGTACGATGAACGTTTTGCTAAATTCAAAAAGTATACAATGTTGTGTTCATGCATTTCGCTAAAGTGGAAATTTAATCTTTATGCAGGAGCTAAAACAAAAATTGTCAAGTCCGATTCTTAATAAGAAATCAAAATTAGAAATTGAAAATTATGTATAGAGTGAATATTTTTCTGGTTCCTCAATAATCGTCCTAAGCCTCTGAAACTTACATCCCCCTTTTTATGATACTCGGGATTCTTATAACAGTCTTTAGCAAGTCCAAAATCACAGATCTTCACAACATTATCATGTGCTAACAGAATATTCCTAGCTGCTAAATCTCTGTGAATGTACTGAAATAAAAGAAACAACTAATATTAAATTGCCTAAAGGTAAATGTGGTTTCATGTACTGAAAATTCCAGTATTTAGTATGCTATTTTATAATGCTGTTAGATAAATTTAAAAAATAGTGTGTTAAACAAGAAAGAAATTTAGTCCTAACAAAAATTTGATTTTTTACAGTTTTGTCATGGTAAGAAATGAACAACTTATGCTAAACGTATCATATCAAAAACCAATTTTCATTTTCAAATTTATTATTTCAAGAACAATAACAAAATCAAAAAAAATTATTAAGTATGATTTACATATAAATGCAACCACCTTTTTATAAGCCAAGTATTCCATTCCTCTTGCAACTTGGAAAGCCCAACACATTAGATTGTTCGTGGTCAAAAGAGGACCATTTGTATCCTCTAAAGGTCCTTTATTTAGATTATCTGGTATTTTATCGTCTTTAGGGTCCTTAAACGTTTCCTTCTTTTTAATCAGGTAGTTACGAAGATTTCCAAAATGACAGTATTCAATAATCACCATTAATTTACCTAAAAAAGGCCAAAAACACATTAAAATATCTAGAGTTGTCCAGATAGCAAGACTAATAACTTACGTATACATGGTATATGCATATTAGTTGTTGTTCGGCAGCAGATTGAAATTCAGTATCAAGACAATGTCAGTTTAAGATTTTTGGCTTCCATTTTGTTTTAATAATTGGCATATGGTTACCGGTAAGTCAATGTGACATAGTTATATCGATTCAGCAACAAAATCTAAAGTTTGTATACTGTAAATCAGGAAATTTAATTATGATACTACCTACAATTTCTTCCACATCTAGTTTGATATTTAACTGATATCCCACTGATAATTTTTACTGATATCAATGTCAAACGTCAGACCTACATCAGCTTCCCATAATGCATCCTCATACCAAGTTTGGTAAAGTTAAGTTCTACGGTACCGGAGTAATTTCCCGGCCACCAAGCAAACAAGGTTTTGCTATCACAGAGGTCAAAGGACAAAGTTAAGGTCACAGTGACATGACTTTAGAATATGACACACCGACTTCCAATAATGCATCCAGATACCAAGTTCGGTCACTCTTAGTTCTACAGCACAATAGTTATGACACGAATCAGACAACGTATTACTATCAGAGGTGTCAAAGTTAAGGTCAAAGTGAGCTGGTTTTGGTATATAAAAAATAGGCCTTCCAATGAGTCATCACCTACCAAGTTTGATTGATCTTATTTCTACAGTAAAACAGTGCCCGGACACGAATTACACTAGGATTAACTATCTTAGTTGTCAAGTCAAAGGTCAAAGTCAACTGCCAATGGTGCATATACATAACAAGTTCTACGATACAAAAGTTATGTCCCGGATACGTAGCGGGACGGACGAACAGACGGACAGACAAACACACAGACAGACACACAGACGGACGAACGGATAAGGTAGTTGCTACATACCACCCCAAACTTTGTTTGCGGGGTGTATGACAATATCGTTACCTTGGTCTGTGAACAACTGACGGATGAATTGTGATAAAATCAAATTGAAGAAATAAAAATAATAAAACTGAAATGATATTCGTATATGTCGATAAATGTTATATTAAAACATGTTAGGTTTATATCCTAAATGAAATTTATGTACATTAATTTCATTATAAAATATATATAAATAAAATTGAGAATGGAAATGGGGAATGCGTCAAAGAGACAACAACCCGACCAAAGAGCAGAAAACAGACCAAGGCCACCGATTGGTATTCAACACAGCGAGAAATCCCGTAACCGGAGGCGAGCTTAAGCTGGCCCCTAAACAATAATGTATAGTAGTTCAGCGAAAATGGACGTCACATTAAACTCCGAAACATATAAATGAACCAAAGTTAAGAAAAAACAACATACAAGACTAACAAAGGCCAGAGGTTCCTGACTTGGGACATATATTTCTGCAATAAAGTATCTTATCTTATCTTATATTACTTCTTCAAAGGAAAATAATATGACTATGTTTAATGCTTTAGTAAACATAGTCATATTATTTTCCTTTATCTAAAATTCGAAAATCTAAGTTTCACTATTGGATAATCGTCTTTAAAAGTCTAAGTCTGTAAAGAGTGGTACATGCTACGAAATACACTTACCATATTTGATTTCCTTGGTCACAGCACCCAGTAAATTTACAATGTTAAGATGCTGACCGAGATGTATCATTATCTTCAGCTCTGACATTAAAGCCATCATTTGTTCTTTATCTGTACAATCTGGCAACATGAATAAAATAAACAAATTATAATAATAATAAATGTACTGAAAAGCACTTGTTTCTTGAATACTGTATTCTTTTCATGATTAGCAATTATTCTATTTTTTTACACAGACTTGTAACTGCATACTTTGATACACAGGAAAGACTGCTCTGATATTCTGAATTGTAATGTTTTAAATAATTTGCCTTGTTTTGGCCCCTTTGATTTTTGAATCATACAAGGAGAAAGCGGACTTTGAAATTAAAAAAAAAATCGTGAAAGATATTGATTTTGTTAATAAAATCAGGCAGAATATTTCACAGACTATTTCTGAAAACGAATTTGACCCAAATGTCGATCTTGCAAATTTTAAGTCTTTAGATTATTGTGTTACAATAGATGACTACGAGAAAATAAAAAAAAAACTCCTTTGCAAATAACTACAAATACAAAACTTCAAACTTTTCAACTCAGGTCGGGTATTATTAATTATAGTTTCAGCTTCCTTTCTGTATAGATGTATTTTAAACGAAACAAAAGTTTTTGCATTGAACCCATATAAATATTATTACATATATTGTTTCCTTTCCGTGCGCCACTAATGAGGCTTATATAGACGACATATGCGTCATGCGTTCTAAATTATAAGTCAGGTATATCTTTAGTGAGTTTTTACGACAAGTGGCTTCGTTCCGCCCAGGAGTCAGCACGGAATATCATTGATACGGTCATTTTTTGTAGTTTCATTAATATTAATAAGTCCAGAGGTAAATCCTCCCATGAAAGATTGTTTTGAGTAACTTAAGAGAGGTGATAGATACCAAAGGGATATTCAAACTCATAAATCGAAAAAAAACTAACAATGTCATGGCAAATTTTGAATAAAAATGGAAAATACTGTGAATTATGTATCCAATACAAACAAAAAGAATATATGAATTTAAATTGGTTGCCATTGGAAACTGCCTTGAGTGAATTAACAAGTGGCTTCGTTCCGCCCAGGAGTCAGCACGGAATATCATTGATACGGTCATTTTTTGTAGTTTCATTAATATTAATAAGTCCAGAGGTAAATCCATAAAGATGGTGTAATAGAATATGTTTAGGGTGTATAAACGATATCTCAAACTATATACTTGCAATGTTAAAAACAAATATGACTTGTATCAGCCTTTTTGTAAAAGAATAAATAATTTACAGAAAAAAGCCTTCTTAATAAGGTCTTCAGAAAACATGTAAAATGTATTCATTTTATGTAGAATTCTTTGAAGATTTACCCATAATGCTTTATTAACCTACCATCACTTTCTATTAGGATTTAAACCATAATGCTTCATTTACCTACCACCGAATTTTAATGAGGATTAACCCACAATACTTCATCAACCTACCATCGCATTCTATTAGGATTTACCCATAATGCTTCATTTACCTACCACCGAATTTTAATGAGGATTAACCCACAATACTTCATCAACCTACCACCGCATTCTATTAGGATTTACCCACAATGCTTCATTAACCTTACACCGAATTTTATGAGGATTTACCCACAATGCTTACTTTAAAACTGAGGTTTATATCCGGGTCAGAAGCTACATTTAATTTTAACTGAATAATCTATTTTAAAGTTTAATTTCTTATCTGAGAACTCAACTGTCAGATGACAAAATATAAATATATATATCAACAAAAATAAAACGTTGTAACAATGCCGATATTAATGTTTTGAGTTACATAAATAAATTTCACAAAAAGTAACGATAATGTCCACTATCCCACCGGTTTCAGCTTCGACCATCAGGGATATATATATATAGTCTATCCTAAATTGAGGTAAATTATATGGCCTTCCAAATACCGTTTCGATCACTAACATCACTGAAGAGACATTAATTGTCGAAATCCGGATATGATGTACTAATTTTTTGCACCTTTTGTTTGCGGTATACCATCTTTTCCGCAAGTTTATTGTTTTCTGTTTGATATTAAATTAATAATTTTAAAAGATCCATTTTGTAACATCTTGTGATCCGTTTATCTAGCAATCGCCAGTCAGCAGGGTTTAAGAACATCTGTTGTTCGACCTGTTAGTCAAATGCGTTTTGTTAAAATATACTTTTTCACTTTTTTGGTCTTTTGGAAATTGTTGTTTGTGCTGTATTTAGACCCCTCTATCAAGAAATTTGTTTTGCATGCACACGTATAAAAATTGAGGTTTTTATCCAACGCAATCATAGGTTTGAACGTTGTTTTCAATTTAGACTTGTTTATATATATATAGATATATATATAGTTTCTAAGAATAACAACGATCAACATTCAATATATCTAGGCGTCGATCAGTTTGAAAATAAACTGATGCAGTTACTAAATTTATTTATATAAATGCCTATATATATATTGAGGTAAATACATATCAGTTAAGCAAGGTACACATGGAATATGTAATGTTGTAATGTACTATTGTATTAATGATTATGCATTTCTCTGTGCTGAGAGTTCTTGCGTTTGTTTGTACTGTATTCCTGTCACGTATTGTTCTCATTTTAGCGATATTTTTTAACATTGCCGTATAATCGGGAGGATTGGCTACCCATAAAACTAGGTTCAACCCACCATTTTTTCTTAAAATGTCCTGTACCAAGTCAGGAATATGGCAGTTGTTATCAAATACTCGTTTCTATGTATGTTGGCGTTTGTTTTTGTTGCAGTTCAGTGTTTCTGTTGTTCCGTTGTTTTCCCTTTATAGTTGATGTGTTTCCCTCGGTTTTAGTTTGTAACCCGGATTTGTTTTCTCTTAATCGATTTATGACTTTTAAACAGCGGTATACTACTGTTGCCTTTATTAATCCTACTGAGATAATCATTGGGCATGAAAAATGTAAATAAACACCCTGCTAAATTAAATGTTACATTTTTTAGTGCCTACCTTTGGCCGTTTTTACGGCAACTGTTGAACCAATTTCATTTTCCAGTATACCGATAGCTTCGGCTTTAATGACACGACCAAAATTTCCCTGACCTAATACCATACCTAAAATTATTATTAAATATGTCAGCTATTCTGAATAATGAATCACTACTTCAAATAACAAATACATTTCAGTAGTGTTATGGTACTCTTTTCTTTTTTTATAAACAAGTGTTACTCTTATCATTTCCATGTTTTTTTATGTTTTGTGGGACTCGTGTTGCTCATTCGTGTTGCTCATTCTTTAGTAGTGTTTTGTCAACTTAATAAGTCTTTTCGTCTTTTTCCGATGGCGTGTTCAGTTTCTTTTTGACTTCCGAATGTCCCCTTGGTATCTCCCGCCTCTTTCTTGCAATGATATTTGAATTCTTCGTTGTTTTTTTGTTAGTAGTCATATTTGTATTGGATTGTGAGTATCCTGCGATATGATGTGGGAATGCAATGTTCTTCACATCTACTAAAACCTTTATAAAACTTATTGGATAGATCATATGACGGATTATGGTTCCATAGGGATACACTTTTCACCGATACACTTTTAACATACTATTACTTATACTTCTAACAAACACCATGATATTAATATGAACCATTGGCATACGTTTTACAGATATCCTGATTCTTCGGCCATCATTTATGTAATTTTAACAAATATGCTTATGTTTAAAGCAAATATCATTTAATGTATATGTTAAATAATACCCTGATACTTAAAATCTGATCCCGATATATACTGAAAGCACCATATACTTCTAACACGTATTTAAATACCCGTAAAATCAGTCGGAAATAATAACTAGTATCAGTTTAATTATCAAAAGCAAAGATATACTTTAAATTAGTATCAGTATACATATCAGAAGATTCGGTATACTTTTAACAAGGATCAGTATACTTATAGAAAGCTTCCGTTTACTCTAACCAAGTATCAATATACATATAAAAAGCATCGAAATACTTTTAACAAGTATCAGATTAAATCATATAAGGCATCTGTATTCTATCAAGTATTTGGATACATAAAAACACCATCGGCATACTTTTGACAAGTATTTGGATGCATATAAACACCATCTGCATACTTTTGACAAGTATTTGGATACATAAAAACACCATCGGCATACTTTTGACAAGTATTTGGATACATATAAACACCATCGGCATACTTTTGACAAGTATTTGGATACATATAAACACCATCGGCATACTTTTGACAAGTATTTGGATACATATAAACACCATCGGCATACTTTTGACAAGTATTTGGATACATATAAACACCATCGGCATACTTTTGACAAGTATTTGGATACATATAAACACCATCGGCATACTTTTGACAAGTATTTGGATACATATAAACACCATCGGCATACTTTTGACAAGTATTTGGATACATATAAACACCATCGGCATACTTTTGACAAGTATTTGGATACACGTAAACAGTATCGGTAATCTGTTACAGGTTTCATTATGAAAATAACGGAAGTAAATCTCACGAGAATGAACAAGACGCGGAGAAGGTCTTAAACAGGACAGTTATATTCGATACGTTTTATATCTGTAACTTTTATTTAACTAAACATATTGTCAAAATTCAAACTCTATAGTACAAAACATTCTGCAAAACTAATTACATGCCAGAAACGCATTTGGAAGAAGACATTCAATTTTATATAACCAATTTTGAACTAATGTCTTAAAAAGTTCAGACGTAAAAAGCTACTGTCCTGGCAGCTTTTTTTACTTTTAAAACAAGTACAAATTATAAAATTAAGTTTTTTAGGAAAGTAAAGGACGTTATCTCTACATTCGTGTAAATATGTCATACCATACAATCATTTTGTAGAAATTATTTCATTCATAAATAAAATTTCTTTGGAAATATTGGCTATTTATATTAAAATGATCAACGTAATTGACAGATATTTTATTGCGATAACGATTTATAAATTCATTAAATTTCATATTTTCATAAACAGTATACATGGTATACTTCAAACTTTACAGTGAAATAATAATTTCATGCGAGACACGCATTTTGAAAAAAAGATATTTAACTTTATATTTCGGTTCTGAAAGAATTTTTTTTGAAAGTTTTAACGCAATAAGCTACTGTCCTGGCATATTATTATACTCTTCAAACACGAAGAAAATATCAAATTAGGAATTTTTAGAACTATCATGCCTTAGACTTTAAAAATCGTATAAAAAATATTATGTCAGACAGTTGTTTTGTAGAAATCATTTCAATTACAAATAAACTTTCCTATGAAATGTCCACCTTTTGTTTTTCACTGTCCTGTCAAAATTTTCTTACTATTTCAAATATGTTAGTAATATTCTGTTTTTTACTATACAGTTTGAGTTTTGACAATATGTTGAGGTAAACAAAAGTTACAGATAAAAACCTATCGAAAATAATTGTCCTGGTTTTATCTGTCCTGTTTCGGAGCTTCCACGCGTCTTGTTGATTCTTGCGAGATGTTTCACTTCCCCGATTTTCGTATACTGAAACTTGTTACAGTATACCGATACTTTTCAAATGTATAAATATACTTGTGAACCCATGATTTTTATATATATACAGATACTTGTAAAAAGTATACTGATGCTTTTGATAAGTCAACTGATACTTCATAAAAATTAACCAATGATTTTTATAAGTATACTGCTACTTGCTAAAAGTATACCGATACTTATTATAAATATTCTGATACTTTTTAAAAGTATATTGATGCTTTTTATAAGTATAATGAAAAGTATACTTATACTTAGAATAAGTATAATGATAGTTATTTACAGTAGACCAATGCTTTATATAAGTATACTGATAATTGTTAAAAGTCAACAGATGCTTACTATAAATATATTGATTCTTGTTTTTAGTTTACCGATGCTTTTTATAAGTATATTTAAACTTTTTAAAAGTATACCGATACTTATTATAAGTAAACTGGTCTATCTAAAAAAAATAACGATGATTTTTATAAGTATACTGATCCTTGTTAAAAGTATACCTATGCTTTTGATAGGTAAATTGATACTTGTTATAACTACCGATTCATTTTACGTGTATCTAAACACTTGTTAGAAGTATACTGAAGCTTTTGATAGGTAGATTGATACTTGTTATAACTACCGAATCTTTTTTACGTGTATCTAAACACTTGTTAGAGGTATACTGATGCTTCCGGTATATATCCGGATACATATTGAAAGTATCAGTATATAATTAAACATATAATGATACTTGTTTTAAACGAAAGCATATTTGTTAAAAGTATACGAATGCTTGACATAGTATCAGGATACTTGTGAAAGTATACCAATAGTTGAAATCTATATCCTGATGTTTGATAGAAGTATCCTGATACTTTTAAAGGTATATGTTTACTTGTTGAAAGTATATCGATGTAAATTATACCCCTATCGAACTATCATTATTCTGGCATGATCCGCCACTCATAGATAGGTCAGTGGATGAGGCTTTGTAAGGTTTAATTTCTAACCCTACCCTTGCATTCCATTTGCATTCAAAATTATCCACACTGCTTACTCGATGCTTCAACATTTCATATCCTACGAATGGATACATTCATTTTTGGTTTTTTTTCAACTCTTTAACGACATGTTACGCAGTCTTACATCTTTAGATACGAAATTGTCTGTAATTTTACCGATGGTGTTCTTTTCACTATTGTGACATTTTGACTGCGTAATTATTCACATGGCAAGTGATACCGATAGAGGAGACGCTTACCCTGTCGACGCACTCGATCGCGCTCTTTTTGGAGTTCAGGCGATTCCCATGGTTTTTGTTTGTTGCTTTGATTTGTCTTCTTGGTCGATTTAAGAGATCTGAACATCGGTAAACTACTGTTGCCTTAATCTGTCCCGAGTATGCATGAGATATTGCTCGTTTGACAATAGGTATTTAATCGGCCTTAGTTAGTTGTCAATATGTAGACAAATTACAAATTTTAACTTAGTAAATGTTTTACCTATACTTAGGATAAACTGATGTATTATTGGAAAGAAGCCTATATCAGCTGATGTCTCAACCAGAATAAAAACTATCTAGCCCCTGTTTTAAGGAATTTCTTTCATGGATTTTTGTTGTTGAAAAAATTGACGTGTCACAAATTGGTATATAAGATTCTGTCTGCTTACCCTGTCTGAGCTTCTTTTTTGGAAACTCCCATTTTGCATCATAGGGTAAACAGGATGTTTGTTCATCAATAGGTATATCAGGAATATAGTCTCCACTTGGATGCATCAATGTCCTCTCCAATTCTTTATGCTTAAAAAAAGCATAGTTGAATGAAAAGGAATTATTATACTTATGAAAGAAGAGAAAGAAAAATCACACTGTTGGAGAGATCTCTTCCGAAACTGACCGATATTTATTGACATTGAATTTTAATATCTTAAAGCATCGTACATGTTTTATTGCTATTGGTGACTTACCAGTGCTACAGCCTTACGCTTGTAAAGTACACACATTACCAACACTACAAGTATAATGACTGCTACTGCTACTGCAACCACCACAGATACAATTATTTTGATGTCATGTGTCTTTAACGGCATTGTATGCTGTTCGCCTAAAATGAATCATATTTCTATAGCAATAACTTTCCCATTTGCCTCATGCTATATTCACATTTTAAATTAATTGGTTCACTGGTCTTACATTACAAAACATATGACAATTCTTTGCAAAATTTCCTCAGGCAAAGTTGACCTTAGATGGATTTGAAATTGTTGACTTTGGGCGTTCCTGATGAAGGTAAAACATGAAGTGCGCTTCGGACGCATATCATTTATAAGTGTTATTTTCGTTTGCTCTATTATAACCATCTCTTAAAAAATGTTAACATTTTGTAATGATTTAATCAATTGAAACAAAAAATGCTTGTTTGTAATATCGTTCAATTTACACATTATTTGTGTTTACCTGTTAAGAGCAGTTGATATAAATTTCAATTGTATGAAGTATTCTACTTTTAGTTGGTAACATTTTATTCGGCACTGCTATGGTTTTTGTCATTTATTCTTTGGATTGGATTTGTCGAACGTTTAGTTTTGTCAGGTTTTATGGACTTCCCCCTATTTGAATATACCTTGGAGTTTGGTATTTTTGTTAATACATTTTTTGGCTATTTTTTAAGGTCTATTTATTCATATAGTTCCTCAAGTGTTCACGTACTTATACATCCTTCGCTTTAAATTTTAGTTTTGAGCATTCCAGATACAGGTAGCTATATTACATCATGTTCACAGTAAGCAAGTGAGGACAGATCTTTTAAGGCTAAATAGATCAAACTAGATCTATTCACTTGTGCTAATAAAACAGTTACAGTTTCAGTGATCCCATGATACAGCACAATCTGGTTCTTGTATGACTTTAATAGTATACTAGCAATGATCTTAAAAAAACAATTATGATTTTCACATCAAGGTCCTGACCAACCTTTGACTAAGATCATAACACATACCTTGGGTTATAGAAAAATAATTATATGGATGATTACAAATTTAACTATTTAATCCTAAAAAGATAAAACACGTTACTTAAGTGCCGTTACTGGATGTGACCTTGACATTATATAAAAGTCCTCAATCATGCTTGTGACTCATACAAAGATAGTCAGAAGTGGGACATGGATCAATGAAAGCACATAAAAGTTACAGCCCAGTGACCAAGAAACAGTTGATAGAGAACCTATTCACAGGCGAGGTAAGTATACATCCGCCAAACACAATTTCAACTTTTTAAGCACTTCATCACTTTTTATTTTGTTCATCATATTTAAGTAGCATACCAACAAATAATGTCCATTTCATGCAAGCCACGCCCCGGCTGTTTGTTGCTTTACATTTATAAACACCTTGGTGAATCTTGGAAGTTTTATTAATTCTCAAACTGAAATTACAAATCAGCAATCTATATCATACATTCGAACATAGTTTCAAATATGCAGATTCAAACAGCTGAACGGTACCAACCGAATTTTTTTCTATTAATATTTCATCTAAAAAACATACTATGTATGATCCAATGAATTATATATTCCCTATATTATTTGTAAAATAGATGTAGTCAATTAAACATTAAAAGGCCACATAACATTCAAAGTCAGGTTGCAATTCTTCAATCAGAACTGCCGAACTCAAATTTGCATATGTTAATTTGTTATATAATGTTTGCTTACAACAAAATATCGTATTAAGCCCTCTGAAATTTCTTGCTTGGTAAAACATGTTTACATATGGAAAAGATTTAGACAGGCAAACAAATGTTCTTAACAGAAATTTGTGATATATCTCTGATTATGTTGGTAACAAGGAAATTATGAATAAAATTGAGAATGGAAATGGGGAATATGTCAAAGAGACAACAACCCGACCAAAGAGCAGACAACAGCCGAAGGCCACCAATGGGTCTTCAATGCAGCGAGAAAATCCCGTACCCGGAGGTGGTCCTCAGCTGGCCCCTAAATAAAAGTGTGCACTAGTTTAGTGAAAATGGACGTCACACTAAACTCCAAAACATATAAATGAACTAATATTAAAAAACATACAAGACTAACAAAGGCCAGTGGCTCCTGACTTGGGACAGGCGCAAAATGCGGCGGGGTTAAACATGGTTTGTGAGATCTCAACCCTCCCCTTATACCTCTAGCAAATGTAGAAAAAAGAAACACATAGCAATACGCACAGTAAAACTCAGTTTAAAAGAAGTCCGAGTCCGATGTCAAAATAGGTAAAAAAAAAAAACTAAGCAAAATGACAATGATACATACATAAACAAAGGACTACTAGCAGTTACTGACATGCCAGCTCCAAACCTCAATTAAACTGATTCAAAGATAATGTCTTCATCATATGAAAATCGAGTACAATCCCTCCCGTTAGGGGTTTAGGATCATACCATCAAAACATATATGAGAAGAACATAACCCGTATCATGCCAACAACTGGTTTTAGAATAAATGTGTTTATTTCCGATGCAAAGACCCTATGAGTGAATCAATATTAATACCAAAATATGCAATCCTTAATGACTTGACAACAGTATCGTAACTATATCCTTTCCGAATAAGTCTGTTTAAAGGTTTGGTTATCTTTTGAGGTGAATGCCGACATTTTTCGCTTTGTAAAGAATATTACCATAAAAGATTGGATGTGAAATACCTAAACGTATAAGATGTATGAATGAATATTAAAAGTCAAATGATTAACAAAACTTTCCTTATGAGTCGATTATATTGTTATTCTTTAATGCGAAATGACAATAATACAAACCTCCTATGATCATTTGTGAAGTATATTCCGAAAGTATTTGTATATTCTATTAATGTATTGTCTTTAAACCATCGAAAGCTTGGTTCTGGTGTTCCTACCATTTCACAATCAGCCACTTTGTAAGATATTCCCTCTTTGATATTAATTCTTGTTTCTTGGTCATGCTGTCCTTCTACCAAATGAGGTTTTACTAACCCTAATACAGATTGATATAGAAGTCGTTATGTAAGTACAGTACAAGTGGCATAATATATCAAATAAGAACAAAACTGCATCGACCCAACATGACTGTACTTTGAACATTTGTGTAAAAATCATATTTGTATGAAGGTATACAAATATTCTATACTGAATGCTCTTTTTAAACATGTTACAAACAACGCTGCATAGAAAACTAAAGACTATACAACATATTTTCCACCAAACCTAGAGCTGATCTCAGGTGCCAAGGAAAGGTTAGCATCGTGTTTCACTAATGGCTACCACAAGGTTGCTAATGTTCAGTGCAAATAGGTCTTATTCGGTGATGTCACAAACGCGGAAAAGAGGATAAAATGTAGTTATGACAATTGGAATATGTCCGTGGTCATCTGTCACACAGATATTCAATAATGCTCAACCAACTCGTGATGGCGATCGTAAAAACTTCGAACGGATTACTTCAACTTTACCACTTGGAACCCTTGGTTCAATAGTTTTGTAAGCAACAACCTTCTATTACGGAAATCATGATAAGAATCGTACGCTCTCTTGACGCCCTGTCCTTTTATGAAAAAGAAATAGTACCATGCCCCTTTTCCGTCGTTATTTATAACGCCCTGTTCTGTTTTGTTGTAGAAAATCCCTACTTCTAAGGAGCACTTCCCTCTGGATGATATATACTCCATTATTGTTTATATGCAGGTGCTGCTGAAATGTAACTACACAGGAATGGAAAGTTTCTAATTGGAAAGTTGAAATCATCCCTTTTGGCATAAAGTTTTATCATCAACCGACTATTATTGTCAATTTACAGATTTAAGTCAAAATATTAGAGAGACTTAACTGTATCTGTTGTATTTTTTTTATTCAAGTTCGATGGGATAGATGCATTCAATATAGTCATCAAACTTTGAAAAATAAAGTGAGAGGACATCATCTATATATCTTTCAGTTAAAAATTGTTCTCCTCCTTAACTACCGTAATCCTATTTTAGAACTGACATTGTTAATATAGACCTATAATATGTATTACATCTTGCGAAAACATTGGACATCTTGTGTACAAAATGTCGATTTCGATTGGGCGGTGTAGCTTGCCTCCATAGACAGTTGTTACTAGTGAACACCTGAACTACAACAGTGCCAAGCTTAAAGGAAAACAGTTCTTATAGCACTGAAGGTAGTAATTTCTTGCAGCAGATGCGCATTTCGAAAATTAATTCCAAGTATTGCAGCCTAAAATAGAGCCTTCAGCATAAAATCAATACTATTTTATTTTCGTGATTTGTAGTTCTACTGAAGCTTGCAGTCAGTAGTAGTTCTTAACGAAGGGTAAAATAACTATTAAAGAATCGAAAGTGATATTATTACGAGTTTGACACAAGCAGTAATCTCAGTACCAGTATCTATGACAAACGAGACGATTTTAATTTTGAAATTATAAATTCCCCCAACCTTAGCCGCAATATACCAACTTCACCTGCATATGGGATATACATTTCCCAACTCATTCGGTATCCAAGAGCTTGCAGCTGCTACTCAGATTTGATAAAACGTCACCAGTGTCTGAGCAGAAAGTTGATAAACCAGGGTTATGTCAAAGAACGTCTCGTCCTTTTTCTTAAAAAATTCACCAGAAGATACCAAGACCTTATAAATAGATATTCCGTATCAACTTCACAAATAATACATGATGGTCTTGAAGTATAGATTCTGGGTACTGACGTTGTTTATCATGTTAATTACGTGTTAAAGTGTTCTTTTAATTTGTCTTTGTATATTTTAAACGTTACTGCTTAGTCCATTTTTGATAATAAACTTTTGGCGTGGCTCGGTATTTATACATCTCGCCATAACACAGTTACTTTTTGAATTCTTGACTTTCATTTTTGCTTTGTACTTTGTCTATAGAGTGTCTATATGCCATTTTGTTTTTCTTTGTTGAATTGGTTATTTGTTTTTATATTGATTACGATTATAACACAATTTTGACAATTTTTACCTATTATGTCTGTTTGTTTTGCTCACACATTGTTGTCAATATAATGGAATTCCATGCGCCTGTCATACAAGTGAGGGGTTTA